TACTGTAGTTACTTTTTCCTGATACCAAGAACATAAAGTATACTTAAAATGATACACTATTTAACGTATATTCCACATAATGCATTTTTTTCGGGATTGAGCGACTTAGCTAAATGAAAGTCCAATTGTATATATAACGTTTATATATGCAACAATTTAGGAACACTTAAGACTTTCGTTCTGATTGATTGATTGATTGAATATTAACGTCGCACTGTTCAGCTACACGAGGGCTTTTGGCGACGGACCACGTAATTTTGAACCATAGTCAAGTGACATGGACGACACCTGAGCTGGCACCCCCTCTCCTAACTACCACACGACTTTCGTTCTGAAAACTGACATAATTTTCTAAATTTCTCTGATAAAATTCATCCGTAAGAAGTACAATTTTTATATAAATTCTTAAATTCCTGTACACTTATTGGTGCATTTGAGAGAGATCGGTTATTGGGATGTAATACTTCAATCTTTTGATTAAACATTTATCTTGAAATGATATATCTTAAAAAACATTTTTTTTAAAAAACGAATCCATTATTTCGGCATAAAATGTTCAAAATCTTCCCGAATCAAATGTTTATAAATTCTATTAAAAATGTATCTGGGTGAAATGTTTACCGTAAATAAAACATTCGTATCTTATAATACAGATGCATTAGTTACTTTCAGAGTTTATTTCAGTTTTTTCGTGTCCCTCAGGTACTTAGCTTCTTTAGAAAAGCACGGGATCTACTTCCTCATATGCTCAAGTAAGTTTCTGTTCCTCGCAGGTTTCACTGTCTTTGTAAACACACAAGTAACATGTTCCCTCACCGCCACTCCCGAGATGCCTTAGTAAAGGGTGTTTTTTTTAGAGGTATAGAACTTTAAATTGCAATAAAACAACGATGTATTATTCGATTGACATGAATTTTTTTTTATTCGAAAGATAATCTTGTGGCATTACATTTTAAATATGATTTCTGGCATATGACTGTCACGGCTGGCTTGGATGTAGTCCAATCTGGACGTCCAATTTTCGATGACTTTTTCCAACATTTGTGGCCGTATATCGGCATTAACGCAGCGAATGTTGTCTTCCAAATGGTCAAGCGTTTGGGGCTTATCCGCATAGACCAATGACTTTACATAGCCCCACAGAAAATAGTCTAGCGGTGTTAAATCACAAGATCTTGGAGGCCATTTCACAGGTCCAAAACCTGAAATTAGGCGGTCACCAAACGTGTCTTTCAATAAATCGATTGTGGCACGAGCTGTGTGACATGTTGCGCCGTCTTGTTGTAACCACAGCTCCTGGACATCATGATTGTTCAATTCAGGAATGAAAAAGTTAGTAATTATGGCTCTATGCCGATCACCATTGACTGTAACGTTGTGGCCTTCATCGGTTTTGAAGAAGTACGGGCCAATGATTCCACCAGCCCATAAAGCGCACCAAACAGTCAGTTTTTCTGGATATAACGGTGTTTCGACATACACTTGTGGATTAGCTTCACTCCAAATGCGGCAGTTTTGTTTGATGACGTATCCATTCAACCAGAAGTGCGCTTCATCGCTAAACAAAATTCGCTTATGAAAATCGGGAACAACGGCAATCTCGTTTTGGGCCCATTCGACGAATCTGCGCCTTGCTTGATCATATTTAAAATGTAATGCCACAAGATTATCTTTCGAATAAAAAAAAATCATGTCAATCGAAATATACATCGTTGTTTTATTGCAATTTAAAGTTCTATATCTCTAAAAAAACACCCTTCAGTAAGTTTCTATTTTAAATATTTTTTTTCATTCGATTACCTTTTTATATGCATTAAAACAGAATTGTTCAAAATTTTCGAAAGTTAACTAGCATATGGCGAATGCTAACAAACAATATACTCCTTACATAAGTAAAATTAACCAACTAGCCACGTTATTCTGTCCCTCTCTCCGATTTTCATCTCTTCTAGAATGATAAAGTGTTTGCTCTGCAGATATGCAATTTTTCAGGAACTGCCGAGTTTACACTTTTAGTGTCATTAAAAACAGTAAGTAAACTTGTAACGGGTTCGACCCGCGGGCCTTCTACTAATCTTCTTGAGGAAACTATTCTTAAATTGTGATTTTGTTTAAAAAACGCTTTCCATAGCGATGACTTAATTTATGCTAATTGCAAATGCTACTTAAATCCTGGCATTGGGTGTTTAATGTTAATCGTGGAATGGTAAAATTTAATTGTGTAGAAAGTGATTGGTGACAAGGAATTCGCGCGTGTTGAATCTATATTCATCTTAGCATCCACTCATAACAGTGGAAGGAATCTATAAGTTGATTTGTACAAAGCTGTTACAGTTCAAATAGGAGTTGTCAAGCGAACTATAAGCGGCTCGTGGGATATGTTAATTTGCACAATCTTATAAGTTAAATTAAGAGTTTAGAGTAAGATTGCTCCGACAAAATTAATAAATAAGGTGTAAATAATACATAAAGGTTAGATCTAAAATAAAAGTACCGTAAAATCCGGCGTACAACACGCACTTTTAACCCAAAAAATAAGATCAAGATTTAAGGGTGTGAGTTTTACGCCGAGTATAAAAATAAGAGCTTTAAAAGTAACAAAAAATATGAGCATAAGATAAATTTTACTTCTGAACACAGCAAAACACTCTTTATTTTAAAGAAATGACATGCCTTATGAACTAAAAGCGTTGTAGTTTCTAGAAGTGTACTATTTTTTTCATAAATCCGGGATAATACCTAGAATAAATGACTTCAAAACGTAAGAGCGTTGTACACTAACATTTCAGATTTCTTCATAAAAAAGGGGGTGTGCGTTGTACCCCGGATTTTACGGTGATTATTTTTAAAAGCATGCCGGCTTCTTCGTCGAACCCTCTTACAACTGCAAGCTTCAGGTTGTGACAAACCATGATCTACAATCTTAAAAAAATATTATGCACAAAAAAAACCCTGATAACACATGCTTTTTTAGCATACAATGGAGAAAAACCAAAATAAGAAAATTGCAATTCAGCTTAATAAGGTTGTGAGAATCTGCTTTCACCAGTAAGTACCGCAAATAGAAACTCATCCAACTGTTCATTTTTTTCAATTACTATTTTCTAATTTTCATCACAAATACATAAAAATTATGATTTTAAGCTCTATTTAATATAATGAGACCCGTCATTTTGCACAAAGCTTAGTGTTGGACTACGTGTCTCCATCTGCACAACGGTAGCCTCGATGATTATGACAATGGCTACACAACCACCAGTACTATAAAAACTCAAAGTCAAAGTGCATAATTTGATACATTAAAAAAAAATACTTTATCTTATGCATATTTCTTCCTCTTATAAAAAATTTAGAAAACACCGATGGAGTCTGTGAACGAATATTCTGCCTAAATGCCATTTTCTTAAGCCTAATCGAACGTGAGATACCTCTCTTTGTAGATTCGGAAAACGCGTTCTTTTTTCTTCGAAACACCTGCAAATATTTTCTGAATGGTTCATTTCTTCTTGAACTTTCTGTAATCTCCCTTCGAAGATCGTTCCCTTCTTTATTGTAGAGTTTAAGGGGTGTCATTAGTGAAGCCGGAACGTTCTGACGTCACGCAAGTAGTCATTAAAACAGGGATCGAAAGTTATTCAGATGAAACAATAGCCCTGGAGGATTTCTTCGATTCGATTCTTTCAGCTGTTAAGAGCGCGGGAGGGGGGAATCCCTTTATGTATCTTTTTATAAATGGAAAGAAATCTGACTTCTTTTTCCTGAAGTAAAGAAAACTGTTTATGGTTGAATTCTTTTAAGAAAGAGTTTTAAGTGTGATTATATAGTGATTTGGAATTACATAAAGGAACGCATTTGTTAAATGTTGATGTCTGGTACGAAATAAACGTATGGTTACGAGATTTTAAGTTTTTTGAATAGGAGTTTCAGAGTAAAAACGAAACTGAGAACTCCTACGATTTTTTTAGGTTTATTTTCTTAATGCAGCCTTCAAAGTAGTTTTAATTTTAATATAAATTTATCGTTACTACCAACACAAATAATTTACGTGATTATTGAAATTTCTATTGTATGGAACATTTTTATTATGAATGTGTGTATTCTTGTGACACTTTTTGCAGATTTACTCACCTACCCATGGGATTATACTTACGTAAATTTGGGAAATACTTGTCTAAAAATAAGAGCTCTCATTTCTTTTTTATAATGTTTATATCTCTCTTTTTAAACCAGATTAAAAACAAAGCAGTTTTTTCATTATCTTAAATCTACTATGTACTTTAACCCTACGAGTGTACGTTTACATATAAACACATTCTTCACCACTTTCAAAGGAAGATATTGTTGCAAACTAAATGTAAAATGAATAGAAGTCATCTGAAAACAACACTTTTTTAGCTCGTAGAATCAGTTTTGCAATGTTCTTTGTGCTGTATACAAGTTTTCTGTGTGTCTCAGAAAATAAATTAAAATGTCTAAAAAAAGATGGACTCAATCATTGGAATAACGTAAAAATATAATACATATAATCGTCTTACTGACCAATGGAACTAAGGTTTTAGGATTTATAACAGATATTTTTATAAGTATATTCTTAGACCATTTCTTGGCAGGGCTGATATTTATCCTGCAAAGATACCCTAGTCAGATACGTTGAGGATACTCTTGCCCTAATGTGAGAGCAAGGAACCTATATTAAAACATGACATTATATTTATTTTAAAACGTTCATCTTCCTTTACTTTTACATTCTCATTAATAACGGGATTGCAATATTTTTTTCAAATCCTATTTTTAGTTTACACTCTCTTTCTATGTATATATCTTGTTCAAATTTTCGATCGTTAATAAAATACTTTTTATTCATCCACTCAAGTTCAAATACATCTTTTTAAATTTATAGTGGATGACATTTGATGTTAATACAGCTTTTTCAAATATTAATTCTATTTAATTAGTGAATGAATAGGAAAAACACCCCCAAAAATAATAGTTTAACACCATATATGGAATAGAAAATATCACGTTGGACTTCTAATCTAAAGGTCGTGGGTTCAAGCCCCACCTGGCATAGCCTAATTTCTGAGAATGTGATTTATTTCTACTGTACTATTTTATTGAATTAATTAAATTTACTTAATGAATAAACAAAAAATAGTCCAACACCCTATATAGAAAGAAAAATGGAAAATTGCAAGGAAAATCGCTTTTTATTTTGCCACTTAATATTGAGATTCTGTCATATGTATATACATATTTATATTAATTGTAATTATTTAATAAAAAGTAACTTAAATACAAAAATTGTTAATCTAAGTAAGAATTGATTTAAGTTTATATGTACATTTCTTGTTCCATTAAGATCCTGCTCCTTGATAGAGGATTACATTAGAATATTACAGGCAAAATATTTTTAACTCTCACACCACGTTTCCTGAGAATAAGGAGTTTACTTTTTCGTTCTTTTCACACGAACTTAAGTTTGTTTCACATGAAGATGTGTGTTATTGTGTCACACATAACATAAGGAGCAAATAGTCGGGAGCTAGTTTTCAACAAAAATCGCCTGGGTCCCTTCACACGTCGTCAGTTGGCACTACCTAATATTCTTTTCTCTCAAGAACCCGGAAACTACGTTCTCTTACCCACTAATTTACTCAATTAAAGGGGTATAGTGGAAGTTACTCTCTTCACACGAAGCTACTTGTGTAATAAAAATGGAGAAAGGCCCTTACTGCAACTTCGTGATCGCGTACCGGTAAGTCTGACATTTCTTTTCTACCTAAGGCATTCCTTATTTAATGAGCTTTACGTTCGTAAGTGAAATAAATTCTCTCCCGTCTTCACACTAGAGGAGTTGTGGCAGAAAACAAGTCGACTGTTTCAAAGTTGCCTCGTGTGAAATCAGCCTTGGTTTAACTTGCATCCACACACCCACACATGTACCGTTATTATAAATTGAGTAGTATTTTATTAAATTAATTATAAACTTAACATTAAAAAATTGCCAGGCATTACTTAATAATCTATTTTATGTAATAATATCTTCGAATACTTGAAGCATAATCTGATGACCTCATTTCATATGAACATATTTTTAATTCACATCAAAGATAAAGTGTTAAAAAAGAGGGATACAGAGAAATTAAATGGGGATATTTATTAAATAAAGACAAAGTAACAATTAATAAAATGATTGAAAAGGTTAAAATCAATAAAATCAAGTTCAGATTCTTTGATTTTCAATTTGAACGAATTTGCTCAAGGAGTACACATTAGAAACGGTAAGAACAGAAAAAATTTTAATTTTACTATTTCAGTAACGAATAACTTTTTCAATTTTTGATATTCATTTTTTTTTCAAAATCTTTTGGTAATATTAAAAAACCCTTTTTTTATTCGCATAATTTCGAACAAAAACGTTTTTTTACCTCTATCGTACTTGAATTTGTCGCCAATTTTAAACGCAAAACTCGTAATAAAAAGAAGCTTAAAAGTAAAATTCACCAGTTTTTAGAACACTTCTCCGTTAATGATATAATATGTAACGCAATTGTAAATAAATAATAAAATAAATATATTTATATAATTCTAACGAGAAAATGCAGCTTTATATATATAATATCCAGATTTACAGAATTTTTAGTAGTATGTGCGATTCTATGCGTAAGATTATTACTTATTCAATTTTATATGCATTGATGTTTTCTAATATGGTTATTATATATATAAAACTAAAATATTATTACATTCTCTTCCGCTGTTTTATATGAATTATATACCCTAATTTTCAACTTCTAGTTTGAAATACACTTCTTGAAAATTGATAAATAGCATTGCATTTTTTTTGCAAGAATCATAACTTTAGTAAATTTAATTAAATACTATCTTAAAAGTGTTTGTTAGTACTTACGCATTATATCTTCGACCTATTTCTTTTAATCAAAAAACATTGCTACATGCAGCAATTGGTGAAAACCGTTCCAATGCAGAATCGAGCATAATAATTATAACAATGACAACATTTAACGACACTTTTTATTTGGCGACGTCTTTTAAATTGGCGAAATTGGTCCATCGATGCTATGTATTATGTAAGTACATCTTTGTCCCACTAGTGAAAATTATTTGCATATTGATGGTTTAGATTGTATGTGTGTGCCTATGTGCGTGCGTAAAAACTCAATACGTGAGTCTTGATAAAATATTTGTTTGAAAATTTTTTATTTAGTTTATGTGTTCTTCAAAGAAATAAATCATTTTTGAAATAATATTTTATCAGGAAAGGATTTTTACTTCCTTCAAGAGCATATTGAGCGTGAATCACAAGATATGTGAATGCATTCTCGAAATAAAATTATATTTTGAGGACTCGTCGTGAAACAACAGAAAATAAATATTGGATCACAAATAATTTTAAAGAACTTCTTTTATTTTCACTTATTTCAGTGACTACAAATATATCTAACGCTAAAATGTTAAAATGATTGCCTTCGTTTCGAAACGTGGCCTAGAAAATTCGAACAAATAATTCCTATATTTAATGTCAGTTGAATTAAAAAGTAAATGTTAAAGTTGTTTTAAAGTGTTATTAAAAGGAAAAAAAATGTTTAAATACATTTTTTTCTTTTTTTGAAAAAAAATGAAGACAGAATGTCATACTTACAAAACATTCTCCTTTTATGAAAAATGCTTCTATGATAATAATATTTTACTTATATATAGCTAGGACATATCTGTACAAGGGCTAAATTGTTTTGAAAAATTCGCATTATTTTCAGGGTTACAATCAATTAAAATCAAACGAATGTTTTTTTTTGGTTAAAATTTCTTTTTTGATGTATTAAAATATGAATAAATCCATTTCTGAAACGTTTTTCAAAAATCCCAGTTCTACCCCCATATTTAAGTTCTAGGTATATACGAGGGTAAAACTCTGAAATTTTTTAGATACGCGTAAACGAGGTTACACAAAAAATTAATGGTTTAATTTGAAAATATACAAAGTACTTAAAAGCAGCAGATGATTTTTTTACTTACTTCAATGTATTTAGCATAGAATAAATTTTAGACCGAATAGAAAATGGAATTGAGACGCGAGAACATTATCGTGCTATAATTTTCTATGATTTTAAAGCGGAATTAAATCACGACGAATGCGTTCAACGGCTGTAATTCGCATTTGGTGATGAAGATAAATATCGTACCAATGTATTCAGATGGTTTAAAGAATTTTGTGGAGATCTCAATTCTTTTCAGGATGAAGCCTACTCAGTATGGCCTCAGTCGGCAGAAAGCCTGGATAATATGTCAGCCATATAAAAAATGTTAATGGATGATAATCGTTGTAGCTACCAAATACAACAAAATGAACTTTGGATACGCAGCGAAATCAATCGTGAAGAAGTACATATGGAAAAAGTAGTTTTGCTATTGAGTTACCCATAATCTAAGTGAGCACAAAAAAGAGGAACGTATAAGAATCGGTAAAGAAACCCTTAAATTGCTAAATGATGGGGGTCACCACATCATTTCTAAAATTGTAACGGTTGATGAAACCTTACATACCGTTTTTTGTCATTCCAACACGTCAAAAGAACAAAGTATGGGTTTTTTTAAGATGTTCCACCCTAGCCAATGATGAAAGGACATCGAGCTGTGAAAAAAGTATTGTATGTCGTTTTCTTCAGAAGTACGCGATTGGTCAAAGCCATCAAGTCGGAGGGACAGAAAACAGTAACAACAAACTGGTATACCACTAAATGTCTTCCAGAATTTCTCCAAGAAGTAAATGTTAGGGAGCTAATGCTTCACCATGACAATACATCTTTCCATAAAGCCGGATTAGCAGTTTAGTTTCTTAAGTAAAAATAAAAATTAAAGTGTAACAGCATCCACTTTATTTTCCAGATCTAGCTATGTGTGATTTTGAGTTATTTTTAAACTAAAAAAGAACATACGGGACGTCATTTTCATTCAGAAGAAGAGGTTGATGTCGCTTTAAATGCATTTTTCATCAATACCATGAAATGTATGGTTTGAAGCATTTAATCAGTGGAAAGTTCGTCTATTGAAGTGCATTGATGCTATAGGAGACTATTTTGGACATTCCTAACATTTTATAAGAATAACTTTCAAAACATAGGTGTATCACAAAAATTTTAGAATGACCCTCGTATAGGGAAAATATTGTTATTGTAGAAGCTATTTTCATGAAAAGAAAAGGCTTTGAAAAAATATATATTTTGTCTTCATTTTTTGCCAAAAAAAATTACTTTTAAATAATGGTTTTTGCAAACTATTCTTAAAACAATTTTACATATATATTTTTAATACAACTGACATTAACTATCGAAACAATTAAGAAAAATATCCGTTTATGTTTTTTTTTAAATCATGGTTCCGAGCATAGTTACAATAAATTGTAAATAATAATAAAAAAAAACTAAAGGGGTAATGATTTTTTCAAACGAACTTATAAACTATACACAATTTTAATATATTTAAATCCATATCATAACACAGATCTAAACTTTTCAGGATTACCTTGTGCAATTATCAAATATTTATATTTTATATTCAAACCTAAAATTAGAATATCTGTAAACAAAACATCAGCAAAATATCTATTTTAGAGTCAAAATATTTCATGGATCTTGATTCTTATACTTTCTCATCTTGATATTTCAATTCTATAAGAGGTATCCTCAATTAAAATATGGATGACAGCACATAATACAAAAACATGAGTTGAGCTTCTGTTGGATAAAAATATATATACTCGAAAAGAAGCACAAGTGTTATTAAAACTTCTCTTTCACACGCCAGAAACCTTAGTTTTAGTTTAAATCTTGACTTTCGCCATAGATGTTTTAAATCTGACGAAGATGAATTATTCATGAACAATGATATTCGGTAGCCAAGATATACGATGGATAGAAATATTATTTGAAATCTTGAAAAGACTTCTTTGAATGGAAGGTGGTTATCTTAGCTTGATTTTATTCGCAGAAATAAATTGAACTCTCACGAAATTGATGTGGAAAATTTAAGCACTGTGCGTGAATTTTTCCC